TATATATATATATAGATAGATAGATAGATAGATAGGTATGTAAATAGTGAAAGTAATGCAGAGAGCATATGTATAGAAGTAATGGGTATACAGGGGGTAATCAGATTAGTAAATTTGTATAATCCTTGTTCGGAATTATCAGTAGGCATTCTGAAAAGTGCCATGGGAGAATAATCAAAACAAAATGATTATGTGTGGTGATTTTAAAGCACACGATAGTATTTGGGGAAGCAGGAACAAAGATAAAAATGGTGAAGTAATAGAAGAATTCATGGAAGAAAACTCTTTAGTGTGTCTAAATGATGGCAACCCAACAAGAATAGATAAGAGGTGCAATGTCATGTTTAGATATCACAATAGTTTCAGCATCATTAGCTGGTAAATGCATATGGTCAGTATCTAAAGATAATATTGGAAGTGATCATTTTCCAGTGATCGGTGAAATTCAAAATACGATTTAAATACAAAATTGTAATTTTGTTTTAAGATGGATATATAAAAAGGCAGATTGGGAAAAGTTTCAAATGTTATGTGAAGAACAATTTGAAAAACTGTCAGTGATGATAGGTATGGTAAAGTAGTGAATGCCGTTTATTTAGCAGTATCACGATCCCGCTAGTAAGTGGTACAAGTAAAAGAAAGAATGTACCTTAGTGGTCAGAGGAATGCCCGAAAGCAATTAGAGAAATGAATAAATCATTTAAATTTTTAAAAAGAACACTCACCCCAGAAGCAGTCATAGATTATCAAAAGAAAAGAGCTTATGTTAAAAAGGTTATTAAAAATACGAAGAAGACAGCATGGCAAAGCTTCTGTAATACAATAGGGAGGGAAACCGAAATAAATGCAGTCTGGCGTATGATAAAGAAGATGAATGGAATTGATAGCTTCAGAAAGATACCTGCAATTGAGGAAGGTGGGACGGTAGCCAAAATAAAGATAAGGTCATGTTGGCTCAATCATTTACTAAAGCTCATAGCATTGAAAACTTAGATGATGCATTCTTAAGACGACAACAAATTATGAGTATATATGGAAATACTTGCAAGAAAAAGCAAGATTTTTGGATGAGTTTAATTATGTTGAATTAAAATCAGCTAAAATCAGCTATTAATATACAACACCAGGTAAAGATATGATAAGTTATAAAATATTAAAGAATCTACCAGCTAATGCATTAGAAGCATTATTGGAATTGTATAATTATATATGGAATGAGGGTATCCTTCCTAAGCAATGGAAGACTGCAATTGTGCTTCCTCTCTAGCTAAGCCTGCATGGGAAAGACATAACAAAACCTAGTAGTTATAGACCCATCGCTCTTACCTCTACGCTATGTAAAGTCATAGAAAAAATTATTGTGAGGCGACTGAATTACATTTTGGAGAAAAGGGAAATGTTATCAACTTTTCAAAGTGGATTTAGGAAAAGTAGATATACAGTAGATGCTTTGATACTATTTGAAAATGAAGTTAAAAAAGCCTATATAATGAAAGAATACATGTTTGCAGTATTTTTTGATATAGAAAAGGCTTATGACACTGTGGAGAGAAGGTTTGCTAATTAAACTGAATAAATTAGGTAGAGGTGGAACATTTTATAATTGGGTTTTAGACTTTCTATTTGAACGTACCTTTCAGGTTAAAATTGTAGAATAAATATCAGATCCTTATAACATTCTAAATGGAACTCCACAGGGTAGTGCAATTAGCCCAATATTGTTTAATT